CCCGGTTCCTGGCTCCTCCTCTGGCCTCCGGGCAACTGGGGCGCCCTCCTCTGCTCCCCTCAAATACTGCTTGGGACTGACTGGGGGTGGGCTTCCCTGAGATGCACTCTCTCCTCGTCCCCTGCCTACCAGCCGCGCATTCGACTTCCTAGCCCTGCTGAAGCGGGGAACCAGTCTGGGTCTAGACACGCGGGTCCAAGGGACACTGGACACGCAAGGGTTCCGGACAGGCAGGTGCCAGGGGCGTATCGGGGCCCTCAGACGCGGCGGAAAGCAGCCCTACTCCGCAACGGAAGCTGGCGAGGACTGCGCTCAGGGAGGCCACCGGGGCCCAAAGTGGCGCTGATGAGCGACAGCTGGGAGCTGTCCAAGGTGGTCTCCCGGCCCCGATAGGCGGCCCAGGCTTCATGCTGAGTAAAGCGGAGGGTCCGTCGAAAACGAGAAGACCCTTAACTAGATGGATTGACCCCGTGGCTGCCACGCCGGCCCCCAATATAGCAGCTGTGGTGAGGACAGTGCGGAACTGGGCGGAGTTTCCTTCTGTATAACTGGGGTCGCTATGAGTCAGAGCCAACTCCATCGGATCTAACAACTGGGCACCTCAGAGTCCCACCATAGGGAACACCTATGACTCCCCCCTTTCCCCTCCCTGCTGTCACATGGGAGTGAGCCCTGCATCATTCCACCTGGCCACCTGCCCCTGGCCCACATCATTGAGACACGCCCCACACCATCAACCTGCCCTTCCCCTTAGGCCTCAGGGCCCCAAAGCTGTGACTGGCTGCCTTCGGGGTTGGGAAGGGGTGCTGTGGTGGCAGGGGTGGGAGAGGGCACGCCGAGCGGTGACACCCACCTCTGGGCACTGTCCAGACAGAAATAGTGCCTGAGTTCAATGGGGGGAGGAGGCCCCTTGGAGACACCTGGACAGAGGGTACACGCCCAGGCAGGCAGTGGGCAGTGTCCCCCAGAACTGTGAACTACACGCTACTGACTGACATCTCATCCTGACTCCCAACCCTGCCCTGCCTCCCACTGCACCCCTGCTAATCTGACAGTGAACTGCCGCCCCCACTCCCATGTGTTTCCCCCAACAACCCACCCCCACCCCCACCAACTCTAGGCCAGAGCCCCGCCTCCAGCCGACTTAGGTCACCAGTCCGAAACAGGGGAACACGGGGGCTAGGCTGGCCAAGATGATCAAGGGACTCTGGGCTCCTCCCTGGAGCTGGGGGTAGCAACTCCAGGCCACCAGGACCCCATCCAGGGAGGGGGTGTCAGACCACCCAAGCTCTGGGCCCCTGGAGAAAGGAAGGAGGGTGGGTCACAGGATATAAATATGACCTTCACAGCAGGAGGGGGCCAGGCGCCAGCCCGTGAACACTACACTATAGGAAAAGAAATTTATTACAAAACTTTACAAGCAGGTTCTGGGCTGGTTCCCAGCCTGTGGACCCTAACCCTCCCCCAATACAGAGTGCAGGGTGCTGGTTTTCAGAATAAAACCTTACCTCCTACCATCACAGGTTGGGACACAGAACCACACACACACACACAGGAAGAGGAGATGCCTGCGACTCAGCTAAGCCTGGGGAGGGGCGTGTTACAGTGGAGAAGGAGGGGCTGGAAAGGGCAGGCTGAGCTCCTCTGACACCCACCCCGCAGCCCATAGCAAGTTGCAGGTGGAGACACACACACGGGGCGGTCCCGAGACCACTAGCTGAAGTTGGACGTCTTGGAGGCGAGCGTCTGGCGCAGCAGCAGCCCCAGCGCGCTCAGGAGCAACGCGGAGAAGAGCAGCAAGAGGACCACCCAGGACCCCAGGACCGAGCTCTTGAGCAGCCTCGGCGGGTCAGCGGGGATCATGTTGGTCAGATTCAGCATGTAGCCCAGCGCCCAGCCCACCGACGTGTCACGGACCTGCAGGGGCGCCAGCAGGGTCAGCCTTGGAGCGGACGGGAGGTCCCGCCCCCGCCCCAGCGCCCGCACCCACCTCCTTCTGGAAGGCCACGCCACGGAAGGCGCGGTCGTTAAAGCCATAGCCGCGGCTCAGCAGGTACTGTATGTATAGGGCCCCCGCACAGTATTCAGCCAGGCGTGAGTTGTTCTTTAGCGACAGCTTCTGCAGCTGAGAGGGGGCGATGGCGTGTGTGAAAGACGCCCGGGCCCCACGCCCTGGAGGTCTCACCCCAGCGCGCTGCACCTCTCCCTGCGCACAGGCGGAGCCTAATCTAAGGCACCCAAACGCGCAGTGATCCTGAGGCCAGGCCAGGGGCTGTGCGTGCCTGCCTGGCTACGTGGAAGCAGAGGAGCCCCCTGCTGGAGCTTCACAGGCTGCTCCGTAGGAGGCTCACAGGTGCTCCTGGGTCAGGTGGCCCAGATTTCTGTTGTCATGGCCCAGCGTGACCGGAACCCAGCGGAGCTACAAATACACCCTATTAGTGTCGGGACCAAGCCTGGGGGTCATTCTCAACAGCCCTGCCCCCCACCCTTGCCAGTCATCACAGGGAGGTGGTCTGGCCCCTTTCTCCCCCAGCCTAGTCAGTGGCCGAACACTGCTCCCCACATTGGGTTCTATGGTCAGATAAGGGGTGGGGGTCGGGGGACCGGCTCTGCAGCCCCATCAGGCTGCTCCTGGCTATGAACACCACCCCCACCCCCAAGCGCATCCAGAGTCTGACGCAGGCCACCAGCCCACGGGACAGCAGCACGTGGCTGGGACGAGGCCTCCTGCAAGCCCTGAATGGGAGGGGCAGGGCCCGGGCCCCACCTCTTGCCAGGTGTGGCTGCAGAGAGACTTGGAGGCCAACTCCAGCTGGGGCAGGGTTGTCACTGGCCACCCCATCACAGTGTGCAGGAAGTCTATGATATAGAAGAAGGCGGAGAAGGCCTGCGAAGGAAGGTGGTCTCGGTCACATTAGGCCGTCGCCCCCACCCCACACTTGGCGGCAGCCCCTCCCCTGGCCCAGCTGGACATACGATGAAGTTGCCGGCTACGGGGGGCTGGAAGACGCCGTCGAAGGAGCAGTGAGAGAAGGGGCAGGAGGACTGATTGAAGAGGTTGGACACCAAGCTTTGGCAGAGAGTCCAGTTGCCGCTGCCCGCCAGGCTGACGCTGGTTCTCCCGCTCAGGATCTGGGGCACCTGGGCCTCTGTGCAGGGGGGCCTGTACACATCCTGGAGGGATACCTCCCTGGTGAAGCCCCTCGGCCAGCAGGGGTGGGTGTCATGGGCCTGAGGGTGGTGAGGGACAGGTACCATCACCCACCCATCAAGTACTACCTGAAACCGGCATGCCAGGGCCACCTCCCAGAGGACAAGCTGGTGAGTCTCCCACCAATCCCACTTGGGGGACCCCTGTCTATGCTCAGGGACAAGCCAGGGCTCCCCACTGCCTGCTGAACAAAGAGCAACCCCCCTGGCTGGCCGGGCATGCAGGCCTCCCTTTCCTCCCAGGCCCCACTCCCTGCTGCTCCTCTCACAGCAGCTTCTGGACTTGCCATGCGCCCTGGTGGCCTAATCCATTATGAACTGGGCTGCTCTCCGCAAGGACCTGGTTCAAAGACACCAGCTGCTCCACAGGAGAACGGTGAGGGCCTTCTGCTCCCGTAAAGATTCCAGAACCCACAGGGGCAGTTCTACTCTGTCCCACGGGGCCATTGTGCATTTAGGCTCTTGGAGTTGAGCAGACAGCCACAATGTGGCCCCTGAGAGAGCCATGTGGGGGAGGAGCACCTGGAGGACTCTGGCCAGCAGCCTCCGGAGGACCTGGTCTCGGCCATAGCAGAGGAAGCTGTGTGTGTAGACGTGGTAAGGGCGGCCATAGAGCTGCAGGTGAGCCTGGCTGGCTGGATCTTCGGCGTCACTGTTTATCTCAAAGGTGATCTGTGTGGAGGCGCCGCCCAGGTCCATGGCCCCCAGGGTCTCCTTCGGGGACTGAAACCACTGGCCCACCCAGTTATACTGTGGAGAATGGAGGCTGAGTCAGCCGATGTGGAGGGAGGGTCTTCCCCTGGGGCCCAGCTACCCCAGGCCTTGCCTACCTTGATGAAGTTCTCCAGCAGGTAGTTGACGGTGACCCAGCCGAAGACTCCCTCGTCCTGGCCCAAGAGGATACGAGCACCCCGAAAGTCAAAGGGGTACTCACTCATGGTCTGCGTCACAGCGGCCAGGACTTTGTCTGAGGCCTGGGGGTTGGTCAGCCTGCAGAACAGGAGCCCTAAGTAGCCACTCTCCATGTGGCCCATGGTCCAGGACAGCTGAGGCGTGCTGGGGGCAAGGGCAGGGAGCTGGCAGGGCGGAGAGGACACTCACTGGAGCAGGCGCATGCCCGCGGTGGCTCCCAGGTAGAGAGGTGTGCCCGAGTGGCTCTCTTTGGGCACATCCTGTAGTGCCTGGTCCAGGCATTCTCTGAGGCTCTGGCCAGCCCGGGAGGGGTTGTGTTCATAGCTGGAGATGCCCCCACCTGGGGGAGGCAGAGAGAGGGCCCAAGACTGCACAGGTGGACGCAGGGGCTTGGACTCCCAGGCCAGATGGCAGCTGAGTGAGCTACGCCTTGTGGCTTAAGCGCTGGGAGACACCCAGCTTGGAGACAAAGGGGTCCAGGTGCCGCCTGCCCAGTGGGTGTGGGCCCAGGTGCCAGGACAAAGCAGGCTCCTGGGACCCTCCTGCTGCTCTCTCGAGTCTCCAGACCTTGCTAGGTAGGGTTCTTTTTCTGGAAGGCAGACTGTCCACAGCCCACCTGCACAGGGGCCCAGCTGCTCTCAGGCAGGTCATGCCCAGTGGCGTACCAAGGGGCAGGGGCTGCTGAGCTGCAGGGACAAAGGGCCTGGGCATCCAGGCTGTGAGGGCACCGGGTTGTAGGGCCCCTTACCACGGACATCACAGGAGCTGTGCTGACCCACAATGCCGGTGTTGTTCTCCTTGTGCGCCAGCCACTTGTACACAAACATGGACGTGTGCGAGGAGCCTGCGTCCAGGACGATGCCATACTAGGAGCAGGGCAGGGTGCAGCGGGGTCAGCCTCAACCCCCCAGCTCTCCAGCCCCAGCGGACCCAGAGGGGAAATGAGAAGCTGTGACTGCAGGCCCCACCTCACAGAGGAACAGACAGGCTCAGAGAAGACTTTGCAGCCCATCAGACACGGTGGGGAGGTGGGGGAGAGGGCTCCCCCACCCCCCACTGGCTATCTCACCCCCTCCGACTGCCTGAAGCAAGGCAGGTGTGCGAAAAGGTCCTGGGGCCAGCATCACACCTGGAACTCTGCCTCAACTGGGGGGAGAGGGGGCCGTGCCCAGAGAGGAATCCCATCAGGCAGGCCTTTCTTCCCCTGGCCAACGCTGACCTCCGCTGACCTCCCCTGGCCAGAGATGTGGAAGCCATCGGAGGTCCCTGGGGACCCAGTGTGCAGGGCTGCCGGGTGTGGTCTCCATCTGGGAACAATCTCTGGGTGGAAACACCCCCTCAGTGCCTCGGAGCCAGTGAGCGGGCGGTGGGTCCTTGGCCGAGGGGCGGGGGGTGTAGGATGCCTGGTCAAGCCCAGCACCTGCCTTCCGCCCCGCCCCTAGGCCTGGATACCTGCCGGCGGGGGAGGGGGGAGTCGGACCTCAGGCGGGGGCCACACCCTCCCGCCTTTCAGCACTAGTTCAGGTGGAAGAACGGGCCCGTCAGCCTGGCCCGCGCGCCTCGCCACCGGGGAACTCCCCCTGAGCCCCCGGGGCTCGGTCAACCCACCCTCCCTCGGGCGGGGATTCGCGGCTTCAAAACCCCACCCCCACCCTCCGCTGGCTGGCGGCGCCTGGGGACCGCGCCCCTCTCCCTCCCGCTAGCCCGAGCCTGGTCCCCCGCCGAAGCCCACCAAGGGGTTACGGGACGCAGCCAGGCTCTGGCCTGTGGTCCTGGAGTCGGAGATTCCAGCTTCCGCGGGTGGCAGAGAGGATGCCGTGGCTGGCCCCAGCGCCCGCCCGGTCCAAGGTGGCCCCTAAGGGCGCGACCCCGGCGCGGCGACCGCGGAGTTGCTGGGACCTTGGCCTCCCCCCTGCGTAGCCCCGAGATGCCGCTGCCTCCCGGTGGCCCCGGGCGGGGAGCGGGGCTGCGGGCGACCTGCCAACTCCGGCGGCCCGGGCGTGCGCGGGGCGCGGGCGAGCACCTTGAGGCCGGACGGCTCCTGGACGTCCCGGGTGCGGACGCAGAGCAGCAGCAGGCCGAGCAAGCCCGCCGCGGCCAGCAGCAGCAGCGGCAACAGGGACAGCACCTTCTGGGCCATGAGTGGGCGGCGGGGAGCAGCGGACTGCGGAGTCGGCGGGCCTGGCCGGACAGAGCCGCCGGGTGGGCTCCAGGCCCCGCCCCTGGCCCCGCCCCGCCCCGCCCCCGGCCCCGCCCCGCCCCCGGCCCGGCCCCGCCCCCGGCCCTGGCGATTCCGCGCCCCGGGGCCCTGGACCCGCGAATGCAGGTGTGAGACGTGGCCCAGCTGAGTCACCACGCCGCACCTCCAGCGCCCGGGTCACCGCTGGGCGCCTTGGATCAGCACCCACTCTCCTTCCTACCTGACCACCACGGAGCCCGTCCTCCCTCTCCCGTCTCCTGCGTCCCCAGAGGTGGCCAGCCAACGTCTGGCCGCCCACAGCGGGCCACAGCTGAGCCCTGGGCTGGAAACGCACGTTGGCTGGAAGCCAGGCTATGGGGAGCAGGCTTGGGCTTGCCCAGAGGGTATGGGCCCTAGGGACACTCTTCTGTGGGGCTGGGGACAACCAGCTGCAGCCTGAGGAGGGGGAAAGGTTGGAGAAGTTCCCTCTCTACGGATCCCTGCGGAAATGGGGAGTGGGCTGCCCTAAGCCTGGGAGCCCAGCGTCCCACAACTGGAGGGCCCAGCCGCCCTCCGAAGGAGGACAGGTCACCTGCACCAAGAGATGGGTCTCAGAGGGGCTCTGTGCCTGCAGGGGGAGGGGAGGCCAGAGGAAGCTCACCATGGAGGGGATGGGAGCTGGGTGCCAAGGGCTGCCCTACGAGGGTTCCCCAGCCAGGCGGGTGGCAGTCAGTAGACCATAGGTCCTTGCGCCTGGCCGGGGTTAGCTGCCCCAAGAATTCTCCGTCCTCCCTGCTGGGAGCTCACTGGGAGCTGCGTGCCGTGGAAGTGTGCTCATGTCTGCGGGATGGGAATGCCAGCCCGGGCTGCGCCCCAGGGAGCCCGGGGCCAGACCACCAGGGAGCGGCTGCAGCTGGGCTGGGCACATGGGGGCCAAAGGGACCTTTGATGAGGCCGGGGCGGGGGCACCGCCCTGGCGCTGCCCCCAGCAGGAACAATGGGGCTGGGACCGCTGCCCATTCCGAGGGTCTGGTATCACAGCCCAAGCAAAGGAGGCTTTCTTCCAGTTTGAGACTGGAGGGAGGGGTGGGAGCCTCGGGGTCCTCACGCCCAGCCCACCCGGGTGGGGGAGTTGGACGTGGCCCTCCCTGGGCTCCAGGCCCGTTTTCCAGCCCTGCTCCCCCCCTCCAAAGCCCCCGGAGGGAGAGGCGGGGATAAAGGCGCCCTCAGCCGCAGGGTGGGTGCAGGCGAGGCTACAGAGGAGTCAATGCCCCCACTTCTCCTCACCGCCCTGTCCTCCCCACACCACCCTCCGATTGCCCAGCCACACCCCTGCCCACTGGACTGGCGTGGGCGGCAGCAGGGGCTCCGTCAGTCTTTGGGCCGGCTTGGCGGAGCCCTGGCTGTGCCACCGAGGCTGCACTGTGAGCGGAGAGTTCTGCCCATTGTGTCCAGGGCAGCAGCGCCCCACCGGCCGAGGCCCCCCTGAGCCACACTTGTCCCACCGGGAGGAGTGGTCCGGCGGAGCTTAAGAAAGGGACAGTGGTGGGGACATTGGAGACTCCACACCCCCGTGGCCCTGGTATGCAGCCCCTTCACGTCATATTTACTGCCCCAAGCTTATAGGTCGCTACTCTGCTTCCCTCTGTGTGCCCCGCCGCTGAGCCGCCCCATTGCCGCTTTGGGGGTCCTGGCTTTACCGCTCCCAGGACACCTTGTCCTGTAACTGGCCACTTCTCTTCGTGCGGTTTCTCACGTGGACCGTGGAAGTGGTGGTGATGGGTGGTGAACAGCTGTCTTCATGGAGCTGGGAGTCCCAGCTCACTTGCAAGCACTTCCTGGGGTTCACAGGTCAGAGCGGATTTACTGGTCCTGCTTTCCCAGGAAAGACACGGGGGCGGGGGGGGCACTCATCAGCACAGGTTCCTGCCGGCCCACGCTCAGTGTCATTGTGAGAGTCTGTGGACCGGGCAGTGGGGTCTGAGGGTTTTCATCAGCATTTCCTCCTGCTCGAAGAGCACATTTTCCCACACCTCAAAGACGGAGCCCTGTGGCTTCATGGGTTCCCACCAACCACAAGGTCGGCAGTTTGAAACCACCAGTCACTCCCTGGGAGAACAATGGGGGTGTCTACTCTGTAAGGAGCTCCAGTCTAGAAGCCCACGGGGGCAGTCCTGCTCTGCCAGATTCTACTGAGGGCAGTGCGATTGGTGTAGTGAGTGGCTATGTTCCGGGCTGCGATTCACGTGGGCAAGTGGCCGTTCAAAACCACCAGCAGTTCTGCGGGAGAAAGACTGGGCTTTCTACTCTTGTAAACAGTTACTGCCACTCTCTGCGCGGATCTGGCTCCCGAAGTCATGGCCGCTGTGCCCCTTCCACGTGGACTTGGCTAATGCCTCACTTAGACAGCTGGGTGCTTGAAGACGGACCTTTAAGACGCCAGACACGATTCTTTATCAGAGTCTGGCACTGTCTGCTTTCTTCACCACCCCTGGCTGAAGCACCCTGGTCTTCGGGAGCCCTCCACGAGGGTGTGGTGACACCTAGGGCTTCCTCATTCAACTCTCGAGATTCTGAGTCCTTTCTTCATTTCCTCCCAGGCCCATCTCCAGCGTCTCCACTTCGCAGACTGGCTTGGTAGCAGTGGGGAAGAGTCCCCAGTGTGCCGACTTTGAAAAAGCCCCTTGGTGAGTCTGAGTCACAGGATGGCAACCTGCAGCAGTGGTTAGTAACTGACAGGCAGCATGCCACCAGGCCAGAGCAAGTGCCATCCACCAGGCAGCTAGCTCTAAGAACTCGGCGGCTGGAGGAGTCAAGACAGGCCCTGACTCAGAGCCAGCCCCTTAAGACTCAAGATGAGGAACAAAGAGGCAAGTGACAGAGAGCGGAAGGTGACTGGCTGGGGAGGGAAGACCAGCACTGAGACTAGGTGCCCAGCGAATCAGGCAGGTGAGTCGTGTGCCCACAGAGCTCAGCTCCTGGCTCAGCTGCCCGATCTGAGCAGCAGGTCTGTGTTGTACGCTGGTGAGGACTTGAACCCCGGGCTCTGCAGGAGGAGATCAGGAGAGAGCTCCACAGCCCACGCACGGACCCCTGCACTTTCATTTCTCCTCTGCTCAGTTTGACTTCTCAGCAACGCTCCTTCCCAAGACCAGGCCCTAATTCCAGCTGCTTCCAATAGCCTGAGGAACTGAGGGTCCTAAGGCACATGTGAGGGCAGCTGGTGGGAGCGTGGCATTACAGAAGGCCGAAGGGCACTGTGAGAACCTTTTCATTTTGCTCAGGCCATTGCCCATGAAGACACTTCCAGGGTGGCTCTGAGTCCTCAGCCCCTGGGAAGCCGTTGCTGGTTGAATGCAGAGTTGATGAGTTTGAAATGTAACCACCACCACCACCTGATTCACAATAATCATTTTAAAAATCATTAAACAGTGACTGTCATGGAAACCAACCCACAGGAGGTCACTATGAGTCAGCATTGACTCGATGACAGTGAGTTTTTCATAAAGTGTTTAAGTGCTTAGTGCATTTTCTCTGCATTGCTTATTTGGGGGGGAAGGTCTGGAAGCAATGTATATGTATTTCAGAAAGTTCATGGAAAAATGGAACTAGAAGGTAATGGAATTTTTCACAAACTTTTTGAAGCCCTCTCATTAGTATTTGTGTGTGTGTGTGTGTGTGTCTGTGTATAGCCCTAGTGGTGCAGAAGTGTTGGGCTATTAACCACAAGGTCAGCGGTTCAAACCCACCAGCTGCTTTGCAAAGGAAGATGAGGCTATCTGGTCCTGTAAGACTGACAGTCGCAGACACCCTAAGAGGCAGTTCTACTCTGTCCTATAGGGTTACCACAAGTCAGAATCGACTCACCACCCACTGGTCGATAGCTCTACAAAGGGTGCACATTGTGACAGAAGCAGGCAGTCTCCTTCTCTTCTGCAGAGCGGCTGCCTGTGAGCAGCTCAACCCTCGGCTAGGCCGAGGACCAACCCACAGGGCCACCAGGACCCTGGTGATGCGGGCTGTGCAAAGGGTTAACAAGTTCAGGTGCTCACTGCTAAGTCAGAGGTTCGAGTCCACTCCAAGGAGGCTCAGAAGAAAGGCCTGGTGACTGACTCCTGACAAACCAGCCGCTGAAAACCCTGGCGAGCAGAGTGGACTCTGCTGCACACGCATGAGCCTTGAGCACTCGGAGCCTGGGAGATGGAGCCTCCTCTGCCCTCGACGGCACAGACGCTCAGATGCTCTGAAAGCCGCGCTCCAGGGCCTGAGGTCCCTCATCGTCTCTGCTGTCCTCGTGGGTATAAAGCTATTCTCCACACCGTGTGCTAGCCCTGCTCGCATGTCTCCCACTGATCTGAAGGGAAGGTCTCAGGCCACTATCCCGTGTGGAGAGTTGGCAGTCCCAGCGCTGCGTGCCCCAGGACCTGGCCTGAGTACTTGGATGGTGCATCCTGCCTGCTGAGAAAGACGGTCCTGCTTCCCCTCAGTCTCGTCCAGGACTCTATGCCCACGGAGTGTCGGTGGGAACTTTAGAGCCCACGTATCTCATTTCTGGACAAACCCTGTGGTAGTTACATAATCTGGTGTCAATTAGAGGATTCAAAGTGAAGGGGTGGAGTCGATCAGGTAGTAGCTTGATGACCTCATTTGGAGGCACTAAGGAGATAAGCTCGCTGGAGGCTGGACACGTGCTCACTCCCTGCAAGACGTCCCTGTGGAGAAGACACGTGGAGAGAGGCTGGTGGAGCCAGACCTCTGGAGCCGAGAAGCCATGTGGAGACCCCTGCCAGCACTGAGATGCTTACAGCGCCACTTGATCCACAAGACTTCCCACCCACTGGCCTGTGATCTTCCTGCATTCCGCGTCATTGCGTGTGTTCCGTGAGTCTGAAGAGGACTTTATAGATTGGTATAGGACATATGGGCCAATATCAGACTTATGGACTGGATCTGGACTTGGC